GCACTGTGTGATGTCTCGGCTGAAGGTGGTGGTAGAACATGGTTAGGACTGGAATTCGGGTCTGAGGAACCTGGAGGCAAGGGCTGGTTGAATCACCTACCAGTTGTATAACCTTGGGCTGATTATGTAATCTCCCTAGCATTTATTTTCCTCTCCTGTAAAATAGAGAATAACAATAAATAATAATAAATTTTTAGTATTTTACGAGCAGTATTAGTATTAACTTCCTATTAACAACTCTCTTACTCTTTTGTTTTAAGGACAAATGTGGCCAGCAACATAAAGAATATAACCATATATTACAAATTAGCTGATCTTATTCATACATGAGAAAAAATTAACACATAATATGGCAAAAAAGAGTTAATGATGAATGAGGAACACTTCTGCAACTCTATAGCGTCCTGGGCAGTGAATTCTCCCAGTTGGTACAGTGTGCCATTAAGAAGAACTGGTTAAGTGATGTTGTAGTGGCCTCCTAACACCTCTCAGTATCTCCTGGCAACCACAGCTTCCTTCTTGTTCATGTGAATTCTCCAAGTACATGTGGCTGTTTGGCAGGGGCACAGCAGGATGCTTTACTGAAGCAGCAGTGGGCCATGACCATTGAGGCTGGACGTATTTTCCCTGCTTCTAGTAATCTGCTGAGATGAATGCCCACCATATTTTCCTGCTTAAAATTTTCTGGAACAATCTGGTACTAGCACCTCTGCCCTTCCTTTTTCTTCTGGCCAAACCCTGACAAAGACAACTCAGTTTTGTCTTCTTGCCTTCATTTCCCGCTTCCTTTATCATCTACTAGAGTGGTATATTATTTGTGTTTTAATAAATCAACCTTGCTGGGCAGTGGTGGCACACGCCTTTAATCTCAGCACTTGGGAAGCAGATGCACGCGGCTCTCTGTGAGTTCGAGGCCAGCCTGGTCTACAAGAGATAGTTCCAGGACAGGCTCCAAAGCTACAAAGAAACCTTGTCTCAATAAACAAACAAAAAGCGAATTTTGCCTGATAATCGGAGGGCAAAGCAGCCATACCAGTCAGTCATACAGTCCAGGAAGTGATAACACTCACCTTTACTCCCAGGACTCGGGACAGAGGCAGAGGTATCTCTGTGAATTCAACGCCTTCCTGGGCTACACAAGATTGAACCTGTCTAAAAAAGAAACAGAGCTCACACAAAGGTGATCCCAGCACTTGGGATCACATGACTTCATTCCCAGCACTACTAGGGAGGTGGAGACAGGAGCTTCGGCTGAACAGAGAGAGGAATATAAAAGGCGAAGAGATAGGAACTTGGTGTGGTGTGAAGTTTGAGGATTCATAAAGATACAATCTTGCCCCATTTTGATCTAGGTAGAGGTAAAAGCCAGTGGCTGACTGCGTTGTTTTTCTGATCTTCCAGATAGACCCCCAATGTCTGTCTCTGCGTTTTTTATTATTCATGCTACATTCTCCTCCCGATCTAATCAGCCCGTCAGCGCTGCAGTCACCAAACAGCACATGATGAGTAGTTAGTGAACAGTGGGAGTGTGTTCCTTGCCAGTCTGGAAGTCCAAGAACAGGGTGGCAACGTAATAGAACTCTAGTGATGACTAAGCAGTTTCGTGGATGGCCACCTGTTTGCTCTAATGTCACATGGCAGAAGAAGCAGGGAGTTCTCTGACTTCTTTCATTAGGCTCTCATTTCACCCACAGGGGTTTTATCTGTACAACTCCGTCACCTCTCGGAAGCCTTGACTTCCGGTAGGCACCGTTATCCTGGAAGTTGGACCGTCCACCAGGGAATCTGGGGCAGTAAACATTCCCTCACTGGCACTACTCTCTCTGGGAGGAGTGATTCTTCAAAGAGGCACAAACCAACCCTCTCAGGGCTCACAGCCCACAGTGCACAAAGTCCCTGCATAATTGCCCCAACAGCCCCAGGGCCAGGCATAGCTAGTTTCCAAAAGCAAACCCAAACCCTCTCAGAGTAACCAACCTAAGCCTGCCTGCCTGGCCTTGCCTATTCCTTTGCATGTAGGGACGGAAAAGCCCTTGGACAGAGTTCCCTCCTCCCCTGTCTTCACGACCCACACTGTGGTCCCTAAGTGGCTCCTTCAGAGCATAGGATGCCCTTTAGCCTGCGAACCGAGAAGAGTAATGCGCAGGTTTACTTCCTGGCCTGCAAGTCTCGCAGCAGCTCCGATTTTCAATGAACACGTTATTTTTTATGGATACAAAAAGGAGCACGTGGAGTTACTTTAGCCAGTGGAGTCCTCTCCCTAAATAAGCCGCTGTCTCTTCTCTGGGATGGGGAAGGAGAGCCCTCCCATGTTCCTGCAGAAGGAAGGATAGAGAAAAACATCCCTACTCCTGTATGCCACAGGCAAGGCTAGGGTGGACTATAGCCATCTTAGTTGTAGTAAACTGTGAACTGGCACCCTGTGGGGGGTATGCATATGCAGAGGGTAAACAATGGGTGTTCGCCTGACCCACAGCTTTCAGGGGCCCACGTGTGAGCCATGGATACAGACTGGCTAGGCTCACTCACCTATTTCCTCCATTTCACTGGGGCTTTCCCAGGTGCCAAAGAAGCCCACCAAATTCATGCCTTCTTTTCTATGACCTACTTTAACACATTTTCATCGTGGTTTAAAAATAAAAATTTCATGCTGCCTGCCCCTTTTCAAATTCCTAGGAACCTAATAGTCTTCTGTGAGGTTTCAGAAATAATTGTGAGCCAGCCTGCACTACCTCCATCCTCTCCTTTTGTGCTCCGCAGCGATTTTGCTACTCTGGATATTCTGAGGCATATTGCTTTCCCCGCGCTGTCTCTCCTCATTGACTATTATTACCGTAAGTATTCTTTCTGCTATTACCCTTTGTCACCAAGCCTGGCTCATAAGACCAGCCAAGCCTTCCTTTCCCGGAATTTCCTATTTGCTCTTTATCCTTGTTAAGAAGCCAGTCCACCTGTATTTCCTTTTGTCATCTTCTTCTCTTTTCCTTCTGATAACTTTCAATGTTTTTTTTTTCCTCAGATGTGACTCTCCCTACCCACCCCCTTGACGAATAGCATCTATTTTATGGATCTGTCTCCACAAACTTTGTCCTGCCTGGCACCATTCTCCGGCACGGAAATTTTTGCACAACCATCTTTTTACTATGATCCATGTTCCATTTTTATGTCTTTTGAAACACCGCCCTGTCTCTCCTGATGTTTTTATTAGAAATTACGAGAGCATTAAGTCATTAAAATCTGTATCACTTAGCTGTGCCGTTTTACTGCCACCCCTGTCAGCGACCTTTGGAACAAAACCGTAATGGAAAAATTGCTCTTTCGTGCATAAGGGTGAAAGAGAGAAGTCCTGGGAAGAGAAAGCAGATGGAGCGCAGAAGTCAACCACCAGGGTCCGCACAAGCACCAGTCAACCCACAGTTTCTCTGATGGAAATGGCCAACTGAAATTATACCGACGGGATCAGAAAGAAGAAAAGAAGAAAAAAGGGAATGGAGGAAGGAGACAAAATAGCCTGTTCCCTTTCCCGCTTGACATCATTTTCTTCCTCAGTCATTTCTTAATTTATTGTCGGGCTTATTTATCTCTTCAGTGAATATTTAGTATTTATACCGTGTGCAGGGCAGAAAGCAGGCTCATGCCTCATTTGCAAAGGGCTGGGAACCACCGTGGTCTAGTGTCCACTCCAATACCCAGAGGTTCTCTGTACAGTGGGCCACCCTCCAAAAACTACCTGTCACTAGAAAACTGGCCAGACAAGGTGACATGCTACCCTTCCTTGCCGGCTCAAGTGCTTTGTTCTGTAGGGCACTAGGAGTCTGGGTTGGTGGGGCAAGGGGCTGTGACTTTCTGTTCTATTGGATAGCTATCTCAGATGAACCAGACACACCTCTTCAAAGTCTCATAGTACTTCTCCTGGTAGGGACAGTGACTGGTTGATCTACACAACCAAGGGGATTTCTAGATGACTTTTAAAACGAGTGATGAGAGGAACATAGAGTCTTGCAGAAAAGCCAGGACAGAAATAGAGGTGACAAATGGTGTCCTTAGCTCTTATTTTTCTTTCCTTTCTGTTATATCCCAGAAAGACTTAAAAATATGATAGGCTATATATTGATTAATTTTGCTTCGAAGTTATATTTCTTCGAAACAAAACACGAAGGGATTTGCTCATACGGAGTTCCGGAACCGATTTGGCTTCCATTTGAATCTTATATGACTTAAAGGAAGTCACTTGTTTTCCTTAGGGACAGTTTTCCAAAATGGAGGAATAGGAATTGAAATGGTACCAGCAGACGCTGAACACGTACCGCTTCATCTGCAGATACTGAAGGGAAGTAGGAAGCAATGGTCCAGCTCATGCTGGACTTACGTGCTGTGGAGGAGATACGTCCTGCTACCAGCCAGCCTTGCTAGATTTGTTGTTGTCTGGGCTGTGCGGCTTGTCAATGTTTTTGATATCATCCCTGCTGCTAATCATCCTTTATAGAGCCACAAAAGCCGAGCAAATCCTTTGGGTGACTTGGGGAACTTTATCTAAAATTAAAGTCAAAGATCGAGATGGGCGGAAAAACCTCATAGAGAGAATCCTGTGCACAGCCATTACAGGTTTCTGGCTGGGAACTACACGCAACACAATAGAAATATTTATTCCTGTGTTATTTCTGGAAGCCATGTGGATGTCAGGTTCAAGGCCAAAGAGACTACAATGGGGGCTCATTTGGAAAAAGTGGATGGAGCTCTGCCCAGAGCTAGGGAGGGGTCCTTCAGGGGGAGGAGTCTTGATTCCTTTGCTCTCGCGTCCCCTGGTGGAGAATAGAATCAGAGCACACGGGTGTAATCCAGTATGGAACTCTCCTAGCATAAATTTGACAGATCAGTAATTTGGATTAGATTATTTTCTGTTGCTAAAAAACACAATACACAGATTGGGTAAGGTGTACAAAGAAAAATGTTTATTTTGGATCGTGGTGGTGTAACAACCAAAATAACCATAAACACAATGCCGATTAAATTTTATTGAATGATTTACAGTATTAAGAACAATGGAAGAACAGACTACAATTTAAAAAGGGCTAAACTGAAAAACAAGCTGATATTTTGCAGCAGGCAATGGCTCTTTCCTAAGCACCTACCCACTATCATCTTGTGATGCCTCAGACTTTTTCATGCATAGACACCTCTGTTACACAGTGTGTATGTTTGGGAAGAAACTGAATTAGTCTGGCCTAGGAACTGAATATATATCTGTGGTCGTATGAATAAAAATAACATCCATACATTCATATATTTATATACTTAGGGAAGGATTAGGAGGTGTGGTTTTGTTGGAAGAAGACTTAGACTTAGCCATATCCAGTGGCTCTCTCTCTTCCTATTGCCTGCGGATCTGTTTGTAGAGTTCTTAGCTATTTCTCCAGCAACGTGTCTGTCTGCATGCCACCATGCTCCCTGCCATGATGAGACTGCACTAAACCTCTCAAGCTGGAAACTAGCCCCTGGAAGCTTCCTCTTTAAGAGTAGCCATGGTCATGGTGTCTCCTCAGCGCAACAGAACGCTGACCAGACAATATCTTAAGTTTAATGCCAATCCACCTAATCCTCCTTGAAGGTTTTGCTCATATGTTTGCCTGTGTGTGTGTGTGTATGTGTGTGTGTGTGTGGTGTGCCTGTGTCTGTGTGTGCATGTAGGTATGAAAGGGTCAGGGGTTAACATAGGCTCATCTTCCTCAATCACTATCAACACATTATATGTTGTTGTAGATTATCTCCTTGAACCCAGAGTTCACCAATCTGCCTAGCTCCAGGAATTTCTTGTCTTTTCCTCTTAAGTGCACAGTGAAGTGTGTGGCAGACCACCACACAAGCCTAATATTTACAGGTTTCTAGAGATATAAGCTCTGGTATTCATGGCAAACAATTTCAATTCAATTTCGCCCCAGCCCAGTAAGCCTATGGCTTGCCAATATATAACGCTGCCCCAGTTAAAACATTGGATCACAGAATGACACTCAGTAGAGACTTCTAGAAAAGAGCATCCTCATGTTCTTTCCTTTGTGTGTTGGGCTAATGGGGGTCTGAGCAACTGCTTCAGACATTTTACAGAAGGCAACCTGGGGATTGTATAAACATGAGGATCAGAGTATAGAAAGTCCCAAATGAACAAACCTACAGAAAAACTAAGCAATGCTTGGACCATCTGGCTATGCAAGTCAATGAATAGACCCTCAGAAGTCACTCTTCCTTCCTTCCTTCCTTCCTTCCTTCCTTCCTTCCTTCCTTTCTTCCTTCCTTCTTTATTTATCTATTTAATTTTTTTCTGAGCAGAAAGAGACACAGTGGGAGAGAAAGCTCGGCTTTGTTGACAGTGGTGATGACGTTACACATGTGTGAGCCTCACCAAACTGCCTGTATTTGGGACGTGGCTCAGCAAAGATATTCGAATTATCTTAAGTCTGAAGTAGAAAGCAGTGTGAGAGTGATTCTCATATTGTTTTTCAAGGGTTTTATTTCCCTCATTCTTGTGTGTACGTGTGTGTGCCGGGGGGATGGGTGGTCACATTTTCTTAGCCATTTTAACGAATAAGCCAAACAAAGAAGAGTGGATGGGAGATCCAGCTCCTGGTCCCTTATTCGTGTGAAATATCTGATGCTGGCGATCCTTCTCCAAAGTAAACCTGCCTTTATTAAAGTCAACTCATACACCAAGTCAACATTTGTGTGTGTGAGCCACACAGAAGCAAGTTCTTAAATCTGAAAAGAGAGAGAGGAGAGAAAGCGAGAGAGAGAGAGAGATTTGCAGAAAACTAAAAATAGTAGAGCATATTGAATTAGAAATGAAAGGTGCAGATGTTAAAGCAGGCTCAGGGGCATCAATTCTAAGGTAATTTAGGGGAAGGAAATGACAGACACTCTCAACCTCTGGCGCAGTCAGTTGTTTGATTCCGTCGTAATGAAAATAGCCCACATTCTCTCTCCTCTTCTGCAATATAGTCAATGGATTTTTCTCATCCTCTTCGCTCCCCCCTTTTTACTTTTTGCATAGATTTTTGTATTTTTGTTTTTAATAAAGGTGGAAGTGATTTTTTTTAGAATTTCTATTGCAACAGCAGGGCTTGAACTTCAGGTCAGCTGAAAGGAAGAGTGTGTGCCGTCTCCATGGAAACCGTAGCAGTATAATGTCAGGTACTAAGATACATCAAGAATGAAGGTATAAAATCCCTGCATCATTTTAATAAACACGTCCTACTTACCGTTATTTAACTGTAGTCTGCGTACATAGGCTCCATCTCTTAATAGCCACTCTTCATCAATTTCCTTTGACCGTGGCTAACCTTTCTTAGTTGGTCTTGATTACGCTGCTAAGTAAATAAAGATGAAAAGAATGCCCTTCATTAAAGTATTATAAATGGCTTATTATTCTGAAATCTCATTAGACATATATATGCCTTAATTAGAAAACAATACAGCAGGGACTCACTCATAGTGGTTAACTTAAACCCACAGAGACCAGCAGATCAATTAAGAATCAAGGCTTGCATTTTGCTCACAATTCCTTCTCTTATACTACAGGCTCCCTGTGTTCATTGTGGTAGGGGAAACAAATGAAGGAAAATTAATTGTTTTTACCCCAACCCCTCACCTTAAGTGAATTCACCTTAAGTGAATGCTCAATCAAAAGTATATTGGTGGGAGGAAGAAGAATGCCCCCATCTACTCTTGGTCTCTCAGGTATCCGTGGATGCACTCAAATGCTTGACAACTCCTTACAGATAGCGTCAGGGAGAGCTAAGGGGCAAAGCTGTGAAGCAAATGTCTGCCAATACTAAACCTTCCTTGTCCTTGCTCTTGGCACTTCGCCTCAGCCAATGAGTCTCTTTTGCTCTCTTGCGATCTTCTTTCTACACATCCCCTTGTATCAAGAAGGCAGGATGAGGGAGAGAGGGAAGGAGCAGGGAAACAAAGAAGTGGGGAGTGAGGAAAAAAGTCAAGCATGATAGCACCTGTAACCCCAGCATTTAGGAGGCAGAGACCAGAGATCTCTGCAAGAGCAAAGACAGCCTAGTCTACATGGTGTGTGACAGACACATTAATATAGAGAGAGAGATCTTGCACACACACACACACACACACACACACACACACACACGCACACGCCATTAAGTTACCAATAATCGTACAGCAAGCAAAAGGCTCAGAAACACAACCCCACCAGCAGGAGGAAACAGTTGTGAATGAAAAGTCTAGTAAAGAAAGCCACACCGTACAGAGAACCTTGTAGAAGACAGATTAACTGCTTAGAACTTGAGAGGTTGTGGAGAAGTTAGAATGCTGAAGGTCCAGACAGAGTCTAATGACATTTTATTGGAGGCTATTTTTAGGCCCTTTAATAACCATTCCTAGGCCACCTCTGTATCAGACCTAATGATGTCCTTGTGGACCCTCTTGGGATGTGTTAAAAGACTCCCTCACTTTCACCAACATTGTCAGGGAACATCTGAGGTCTCTAGCAGAGGTCTCCACACTGCTCTGCAGTCACTCTGGCCACCTGATGCTTCCCCCAGAGTATATGAGAAGTATCTTGATTTATGACTTTCTTTGTTCTGTTTATATTTTTTATAAAACACTTTGTCAAATGACTACTTTAGAATATGGTGACTCATATTTTTTTAAGTAATTTTATTAAATTATAAAAGTTTCCATTTCCGCCCCTCCTCCCACCATCCTCCCACTCCCCCCACTCCCTCTCCTCCTCCCTCTCCATCCCTAAGAGCAGTCAGGGTTTCCTGCCCAGTGGGAAGTTCAAGTTCCTCCCACCTCCCTCCAGGTCCAGGAAGGTGAGTGTCCAGACGGACTGGATCCGCAAAATCCAGTATATGCAGAGGAAACAAGTCCCAGTGCCATTGTCAATGGCTTTTCAGAAAGACTCCGGGCCAGCCACATTCAAAGAATCCGGCCACATTCAGAGAAGGCAAGATCAGAGAGAACCTTCATCCCAAGATGGATGGCGATACAGACGGAGACCCACATTGGAGCACTGGACTGAGCCCCCCCAAGGTCCAAATGAGGAGCAGAAGGAGGAAGAAAATGAAAAAGGAAATCAGGACTGCGAGGGATGCGATCACCCACTGATACAAGGGGACGGATCTAATGAGAGTTTACCAAGGCCAGTTGGACTGGGACTGAACGAGGACGCAATCCAACCAGATTCTCTGAATGGTGCCTCATATTTAACTACAGGATAAAATACCTCATCTTGTTTGAAGAGAGAGCTGTGCTTATTATGTAACACAGTCAGGATATTAGGTGAATTTTTTTCCTGGTTTAACCAACACCTACACATCACTCATTTGAAACTTGCTCCAGATTTTAAGTTTATATGTGGCATTAAAAGAACATTAAAGAGGGCCTGGGGAGATAGCTCAAAAGGCCAGAGCACTGGCCATTCTTCCAGAGGACATGCGTTGGTTCCCAGCACCTATATGATGACTTCTTACTGTCTTTAACCTCAGTTTGATAGGATCCAGTGCCCTGTTTGGGCCCTCTGGCCACCAGCCATGCATATAGTGTACAGAAGTTCATGCAAACAAAATAAGATGATTTTTCATTTAAAAGCATAAACAACAGAGGCAAATTTACATTCAAAAATTCCAGCTGAAATCTTGGGAAATAATTGTCATGACTGAAGAAGAGGCAACGAACCTATGCTTCACATAATCATCAAAGTCCATATACATCTTTCAGATGGAGATGTGAAATGTTGAATTTAAGAATCTAGGCACTCTTGTACTATGACTAGTCAAACCAAAGTTCCGGGCTTTGGTTTTCAATGTTATCTGATAGTGTACAACGCTCTAGTCAAAGACCCCTCCACAGACAGAAGGACTGGCCACAACAGAGTGAGGTCAGTACTCCTTGAGTAAAGAAAGATCAAAGAGAGAGCGCTCCAGGGAAATGAAGTCTGCACAGCGATGACAATCTGTGTTTTAAGTGCCAAGACATCGTCGGCCTTGACCGTCCTACAGGGCACTTGGATTTCTCTTATCCTCAACCCAATCTACTTCAAGCCAAACAATGAGTACAAGTACACACCTTACTAGCTCAAGGGCATTGCTCTGGGAGGAAATGATTCGATCTCACTGACTCCAGAGCATGTTAAAAAAATAGTGAAGTGAGACAGCACAGGACAAGTATCCTCATCCTGACTGTGCCTTGAGAAGGTAGTGATGGGCAGAGTCTAGCTTTGAGGCTATCTGCCTTCAGTTCAATACTGAAGGTCATTTAGGGGACACCTCGTGCCATTGAAGGCAACACAGAATCTTCTGGTGGCCACATCTAAATGCAGAGTGTATTTTGAATAGTCGTACCTATCCAATCGCTATAGGGCCCCACCTCCCTCACTCATCCGTTCATCTTCTGGCTTGCCTAGAAAGAATGATTAGGCTTCTGAGGAAACCTGGTTCAGGAGGAACCAGGACTCACCTAAATTTCCCCTAGTTCCCAGATGACAGGAGCTAGGAAAGTGGAGACACGGAAGCCACAGCTCACGGAAGAAGCACGGGTAGTCCTCTGGGCCGTCCACTCTCCCTGCTTCGCTCTCTATGCCAATTCACTCCCAGTTCCTAAAATTTAAGGAAAACCAAACCACTTTATATTATTATGATGTTCACAGAAATACCATTCCCAATTTTAAGATGTTGTTGTTTTTTTTTCAGATGAGTATTTTCTATCACAAATGTGTCTATTCACCCTAGACACAACTCGTTTAGTGAAAAAAATCTTGTTTTTAAGCGTGACTATTATATTTTATTTTACAACTCAGTTTTTTCCCCTTCCCCTCTAGTGCGTAAAATTGTCTGAATCATAAATAATCTTTGGTATTTCTGAACTAAAGATGGGGGAAGGAGACTTAAAATAAAATTTAACATAAGTCCAAATTTAATGGAATTTGTACTTCTGACCTTTAAAATATGAATCTAAAATTTGACTTATCAGACTAAGTTATTATTTCTTATTCTCCATAGGCCTGTCTACACAGTGGAGTCGGCTTTCTGACTGCTCTTTTAAAGGGTTCTCCAAGGTCAACAAAACCTGAGATTACAAATAAAAAATTAATTTAAGAAATCAAATAACATGAAGCACTGGGTCAGAAGAGTCTGCATCTCCCTGTAGTGGTCAGGTCTCTATGCAGGACAAATGGCATGCAGAGCGACTATCTCCCTTTAATATTAATTCAGGGGCATCTGTGAGTGTGTGCACTTCCAGACATGTGCACATGCACCCGTGAATGAGCCTGCAGACACGTGTACATGCACACATGCATGAGGCTGCAGACATGTACACATGCACACATACATGAAACTGTATTGAGAAAGAAATTTCAATTTAGTGGAAAATTGTACTACACACACAAGGCACTCCATAAAATAAGACAGCATTCACAAATGGGTAAGAGTAAAAGAGGATTGTCATTCAGTAGAGGAGAATGGCGAAAACAGACTGCTACTGACTCTCTTTGCCAGTTTATCAGCATAAATGTGAAGCTAGCAGGGGTAGGGGCTGGGATCCCTCACCTCCATCACCAACTTTCCATCAAAACTTTATCGTCACTGGTCCACAAACTGCTTCTATCAGAAAAAAAAAAAAGTTTCAAAAGAAAACCTCACTGGAGACTTGATCCAGAACGACGGAAACCACTGCTGGGGTGTGACAGTCTTTCTCCGGAATGGAAGATCTGCTCCACCATCCTTTCTCATAGCATGGCCACCTGCTGGCACTTGTTTTCAGTTCAGCAGATGTCCAGATTCCTATTATGTGTCATTAGCAATGACAGCTAGGACGACAAGAGAATCCTGCCCCCTTTGAATCCGCTCAGGGCTTCCCTTGGCAGCATGTGAAGTAGGCGCAAGAACCCATGACGATCACATTTTGGTTTTCTCTAATGAGTGCATTGTTTAATGATCCTCACGTCAGTACATAATTGGAACCCAAATGAAAAATTATTCTTCTGAGAATTTTTCATCACTGTGAGTCACATCTAAGAAAACAGATTGAAAAGAGGTGTGAGTGAAGGATGGGGGAGAGTCAGCGACTGATGTCTTTGGGCCTCCCCAACACCTGAGGTCATCACAGCAACAGAAGACTGATAGGTCCTTGCAGGTCTCTAGCTGCCCTCAGCCCACACTGGGGCAAGCATTATCTAACACGGCACAGCTTTGGCCTCAGGTGCTATGCCAGGAGGCTTTCAGCGTCCTGACTCATAGACCAACCGTCATCTGTGGAACATTGAGTCAGCGACCGATTCTCGGCAAGCCTGGCTCAGAAGTGCCTAACATGACCTCAACAGTTCTGATCTTGTCCTTGCCTCTGTATTCAGATTTTCCTTGAATTCAACATTAGTGTTCTTTGTTGGTGTTGGTCTTGTTAAAGATTTAGGGCAGAGCTGAAAGAATGGCACACTGAGGGAAGTGTGTGCCTTGAAAGCATGGGGAACTTGGTTTGATTCCCAGAATCCACATAAATAAAGTCAAGAGAGAGGTGACAGGAAGCTGGGTGGGTGGTGCCAGGAGATTCCCAGTGCCCCTTGGCCAACCAGATGGGCCTGTCTGGGGATATCCGAGCTACGTGAGAGACACTGTCTCAAGAAAAATAAATAAAATAAAAACACAAGGTGGACAGAGCCTGAATGACCATAGCTGAGGTTGGATCTGGCCTCTCTATGCACCCAGAGTCACATGATGAACATACAAAGATTCACGGGCAAGTTGGAGTGGCGGCTTCCCCCAAACACTGACTAAAATAATTGCTGTTCTAAGCTTTTGGTTACTTATCTGAATGGAAGGATAATAAAATAGTTTTCTAGTAATAAAATCCCAAATATAAGGTTCATATATGAGACAAAGCAGAAGGGGTTTTCCATGGCCTTTTCTTAGGCAATGGTGCTCTTTGGATGGTGGTGTGGGCTCAGCTTCAGGAAGGCCTCCTGCCTCAGGGATGGGAACTAGAATGTCACATTGTTCTGTCACCCACTTTCTCAACAAATCTATTCTGAGACACAAGGTCTTCACCTACCGCTGGAAGACATTCTACCTATCGTTCCTCATGGATAAGAAGATGTCCCCAAGTCACTTCAACAGAGGAAGAAATAAGTAGTAATACATGTAATTAAAATGCCAGTATTCTCTGTGATCCGATGTGCAAACCAATTTTGAAGTTATTTTACTTGATCAATGTTTTTTTAAGTAAATGTAAGAAAATAATATGAAGGAGCCTTCAAGGCCACACCCATTTCTGGGGAACTTTTGGCTGTTGCTAGCTGCTGGGAGAGGGAAAGCGGTTCCTCTTTACTAGTGTGGCCTCTGTTAAGTTACCCATGCCCCAATGAATGGCCCACATCCATGCACTTATGGGCAGCACTGATTGAACATACTGTGTTATTTAAAAGAAGGAGGAGGACGGAGAGGAGGAGGAGGCAGAAAAGGAGGAGGAAGAAGAGGAGGAGGAAGAAGAGATCATAAAGTTCTAATGAGGAAAAATCAGGGTGGGGAAGTATCCAGAATGAAGTTGAAAGGGGAAGACGGGGGAATCAGTTATGAACATATTTCATTTTATACTTGGATGAAGTTATCAAATAATAATATTTTGGAAAAATGTATCCCTATAGGCATCAGAATTAGGAGGCCAGAGAGGCTGCCTCCAGGCCTTATGGTATCCGTGTCATTTGGATTTGTCTGTCTTACACTGTAGAATCATAGTATGTCCAGCATCCTACTCCGTACACACTAACTCCTTCAGCAATGTGGCACTCTGGAGGGTAATGAGACGGACAAAGGAGCCATGATTCCTCCCACGAGAGCACCTTCCATCGCTCAGCTAATGTTCTACATTCTGCTAATGCGGATGACAACTGTGGAATTTCCCAGGGCCCAAGAAGGCAAAGGATATCATGAAACATCCCAATAGCCCCCATTCTCCTTTCCCGGTCGGCGCCTCTATCATTGTAGAAATAGCATCATTTTTTAACAGAATTATGACAAACACCACAATAGCCTCATTTTCCAGCAGCACTAAAGTACATTTTTAAGATGCATTTCATATCAAAGCCACTCTAATTTCCGCCTTTTGGAGTCTTTATTCTCTTTCTCTCAAGCAGCAGTCTGCGTTTCTGAAAGCCACTGGGAGAGTAGAGGAATGCAGGCGGCATCTGCCAGGGAAAAGATGCCGCCTCGCAAGTCTTTAGTGATTCACAGGTTGTAAATGTACTTGATGGTGTAGTTGTGTGTTTATGCCATTAAAACGGCTAGCCATTTCCGACTTTCAAATGGTTAGTGGTGATAGTACTCCATCCGTAACACAGTCACACATGCCAACATCACGTTCCTTACCCACACACTTTTGGAGGGCAACGATTCCGATTTCTTTCCCAGCACTTTTCTCAGGAATCTGAGAGGTAAACACCATTTTGTTTATTTTGACCTCACCCCCTAAGCAATCTTAAATCAGTGTGTCCATCATGAATGGATATTTTCAGGCTGTTCGAAATTACCCTCAACTACTTCTTAACTAATGGGCATAAATACTTTACAAAACAAGTGGATGTGTAACGATTGCCCACATGATTTAGTCTGGCTGATGGCTATGAAGACAGCACCCCTTGTGGGTCTCCTTATGTCGAAATACCAACTACCCACAGCCCAAAGAATCATCAAGATTACAACATCTGTATGGCCAGTTTCTTCTTGAAAATATCTCGGGGCAGAAAAAAAATTAGGTGACCCTATTCAAGAGGTCATATGGGTAGATTTTACAGTGCCAGACAAGACTAATGCCTAGTTGACATTCAAGCCTAGAGGATTTTATTTTCACCTGTGATTAATGGACCTGGCATCCCTTCCCCCTGCTTTTTCTAAGCATATAGTTCAGGATTTATTGTTAAATACCACTGAGATCATAGGAAACCAAACTCCTGTGGATGAGAACGCTGCACCAGCAGCCCAAACCTCTCCAGGGAGTTCTGCATCACCTAAGGAAGTTCAAAGGGGTTCATGATCTTCCATTTACCACCACAACACCCGTAATGTGTGAAATCTTCGAGAGTAGAAAATGGACTGCATGAGCAAGCACTATGGTAGCTATGCTTGAGTAGTGAGACTTCAAATAAATTCTTAAAGAGCAATAGAACCGTGCGGGAATGAGATGAGGAAGACGATGACATCCCTCTCATTTCACAACTGAGTCATCTCCCATTAGCTCCATTTCCACCTAACACCCTGCCTTCAGAATCAAGAGACATCAGCGAGAAACTCAAAACCAGAGCACTTCTCTCTTTCACTGACGTAAGCCATGTCATATGGCTCATATCAAAAGACACACGTTCTGCTAATCCACTGCCACCAAGGCAATATTAGGGTCAAAAGCCCCTACTTCTTTCCCGTCATTAGGAAATCCTCTGGGCTGTGCACCTGAGGTACTGTTCATGTATTTCTAGAGAACATAAGGTACATACATCACAACAAAAGTATTGGTATTTGTGGCTAAGAGACCTGGGTATAAAACCCTCTTCTTTATGTCCTTGGGCAAGTTATTATAGCTGATCTCAGGACTTTCACACACAAAATTGGGGTACTTACAGCACATTCTTCACAGATTGTGGAAACAAAGAACAGCCCTTGTCAGTATTGTAATGCCTTACAGAAAACAATATTCTTCAAAAATATCAGGCACTATTTTTTTTACCTAGAAGCTGTTAATAAATACTTTTTAAAATAAAATTTGAAAATTCCTATTTGTAGTCTTCTTGGGGTCTAAATATGGATTCCTAAGATTGACCCCTGATACAAGCAATAAATCATTGTATAATAACAATAAAAAGGAAACCTGATGAGCTGATTAAAACTGTAGTTCTCACAGTGCTGTAGAAGAAAAAAAATGAAGCTATGCCCTGTAACATGAAGGGCTGGCTTATTTGGGTTTTCTGTTCTGCCCAGTTCCCCCAGCTGTTTAGTCCCAGAGAAAAATCAACAACACAGAGGACTCTATAAGTTATAATGCTGATTGGCCCATTAGGTCAGGCTACTTATTAACTAACTCTTACATCTTGATTAACCCATTTATCTGATCTATTTTTAGCCATGTGGCTCAGTACCTTTTTCAATGGGGCAGCTCACATCCTGCTGCTTCGGTGGCCTGGGCAGGAATGGGAAGAATCAACTTCCTCCTCCCCAGAATTCTCCTGCTCTCCTTGCATCATTTCCACTTCCTGTCTAGTTTTCCCGCTTACGCCTTTTGCCTGGCAAATCAGCGTTTTTTAAAACATGATTGACAGAATACAGACAATTCTCCCGCACCAATGCCCAAAAGTCTCACCAACATGACTGTCTAAACGTGACCTGAACAGGAACAACACAAACAGGCATGCTAACATGGATGGAGAAAAGATCAAAATGTCTCAAACTTAGATCAAAAACTACAGGCAAATAAGGAGTGCTGAGAGTAGGAGAAACAGTCTTTCCCAAGGAAGAGCATAGCAATTGGTCCTCCGGTACTGGTCATCCCGAAAACATACACACAAGTAACAGTATAACACTGAGTAGGTTCTATTTAGAAATGCATATGACTATGGACACATAATCACGCAATAATAATTAATGAAAAAGAAGGCCATGAATTTGAAAGAGAGCACACAGGAGTACGTGGGAGGGTTTAGAGGGAAGAAAGAGAAGGAGGAAATGATGTAATTACAATCTCAAAAAAAAAATTTAAGAATGGAAAAGGAACATGACAGTGTCAACCTTTTTTGTTAATTATCTATGCTTTTTAGTCCGTGGATGACCTAGTACAGCTAAAATATTGGTTAATGGTGACAGCAAAGAAAATAATGAACCAAGACTTGAAGGTGCATCCAGGTGAGGCCATTATTTACAGCGGGAAATCAACTGTTGCTAAATGAACCCTCAAACATAAGCTCCAAGCATCACTCCCTGTGTGTGGTGACTGACGGACTCTGAGTTAGAAAAAGGAAGGGGAAAAGCAAGCATT